TTTCAAACCATTTATATGCAGTGCTCGTAATTCCAAAGCGCTTGATTGATCATAACAATAAGGGCTTAGAAAGTGTTTCAAGAGCACGTTTTAAATAAAAAAAAAAAACAATCGTATCTTTTTCGTTCCAAGTTATTTTTTTCACTTTACCTATACCAAATTCAACGCGGTTTCACAAGAAATGCCTTCCTGATATCCCGATTGTTCTCCAATAGCTGGCCTTTAATAACAAGTTCTAAAATTTTCTCTAATATGCGCAACGGACGAAACTTCCCAACTAACAATTTTCACAATGTAAATGCTTTACTCATTTCATTTATACAGCCTCAAGCTGTATTCAAACGTTATACGATATGAGGAAACCTTTACTCAACCTCTATACAAGCAAATCTGGCGAACTTAGTCAGCTAATTATGGTTGTTGGGACGGGTTGGGACAAGCTCTTATTGCATATCCATTAACGCTTCTATACAGCTGTTTTCCTGCTGTTTAGTTGTGCGTCAAATTGAAAGGCGCTTATTCAAATCTTTTCCCGGTTATCCAATAATCACTATACAGCTTTTTCTTGAAGCCGGGTTAAATACTGCTTACGCTCTTTTTATGGAGGAATTTATTGAGTTTATTTTGCTGTGAATGAAATTAATCGAAATTAGTTAAACAAGTCATCACCAAATTATTTACCCTGCACCGGAACCTGGATTCGAACTCGAGACGACGCATTGGCAAACCTTGACACTACCAACTATGCTACACCAACACTTTGAACTGATGTAAACAAATCAACATGCCCTTCTACATCAAAATCACTAAGTAGAGGCTTTATAATACTGCACATGAATCACTTTTCTCGACTAGTTACTTCAGCTTTGTAAAGGAGCAGAGTTAAAGCTGTAAAACTGCACACGTCTCAAAATAAACCTAGTTGACTGTGAAAATGCATCCAAAGTAGCTCTTACACAGTTTATTAGCTGAGTACAGGATGTTAAGTTGTTGAAAAAGCACTTTTAATGTTTATGTTATTCAGCAAGAGTGGTTGGTTCTATAGAAGCCATCAAAAGAGTAATATATTCACTTTATTAGCTTTGTTTTTCAGTAACAAGGAGAAAGTTGATTAGTATGTGTATAAAAGAGACATTAGCGTTTTTTGGCTGTTGCTATTCAGTGCGACTGACAAATTGAATAATGGTTGTGAAAAAGTTGAGTAAACGCTCTCCAAAACTATTTAGCTAGCTTCTGCTTATAGCTGTATCTGCAGCTTCTTTTCAGCTACTTTACAGCACAACGCTGGAAAAGTTGGCATATAAAGCTGAAAATGTTAGTTGGGTTCTCGGCTTTAATCGTTGCAGCAACTTTTTGAATAGGAAACTCCAAGGATTCCTTGCGAATGTGTGGCACATGTCTAGTCTGCAAAAACTCATTAATAAGGTCCAGCAAGATGTGGTCAATAACAGGAAAGCAATCTTGAATAACACTAGCATTAAGATTATATACTCCCCTTCAAATGTAAAACTACTATTAACCGGCTGTTTTATTTCGTTAGGTTCATCGACTAATTCAATGGATTGATTAATCAATGAAACACTGTCTACAAAATAATCATTAAACTAAGCTGAAATTACTTGTTCTGACTGTTCTAATGTGCCATTAAACGTTATGGATTTTGGTATGCAATTACTAGGTTTTAACAAAGATTTCAAAATTTTCCATAAATCTTCGCTGTTGTTTTGATGCTGATAAATCTTTCTTCCTCTGGACATATTTACAACGAGTTTTATTTATCGATGGTGTATATCTATTACGTGCGATTGTATACTTATTCCAATAATTGTCACTATTTGATCTACACAATTTTTTCTACCATTTGTCCCTTTTCCGTTTAAGACGCAAAAGATCGTAATTGTATCAGATGTTCGAGTTTTTCAAAGCAACAATTCTTTGCTCAACTATTAATTCATTGGTACATGTTTTCAAAGCGTTAGTTAGAGCAGCTAGTTACTAGAATCAAGGAATGTCTCGAGCCAGTACTCTAAAACTTCAACAAAACGCTAGTTACTAGAACTGGGAGAATGATACAAAACACCATAATTACACATCTTCATGCCACGTACAACTGTAATGGCCAAGAACCAGTTGCCATAAATAACTTCGTTGGGACGAAGGTTGAATTGATCTGATTCTTTGACATAAAGAGCAACACCGCCAGTGTGTCTAGAATTTGATAAACAAGCAGCAACAATATATCCCGGAATACTATACTGATCAAAAGCTTCAGTTTTTACAATGTGTGTTTCTGATGATAAAACTAAAAGAGGACGTTTTTCCTCAACAATCTAACGCAATGCTACGTAGTTTGTTGACAATCTCGCTATATTCAAATGTAAAAATTCAAATTGATTCACATTACTCCAGGAACTTGGTTCCTATTTATTAAAACGCAAGCTGCTTTTTTTCTGATCAAAAAGTCTTTTATAAACCAAACATTCAGAACTAAATGCGGCATGGTTGATGTCCAAGTTCATTTTACAATCTTTATTCTTTATTCATTTTTAAACAATTCACACATTTTAATACAGTTAACGTATAGTTAGAAACGCACGACGCAGTTAGAAACGGACGACGCGATTTACAAGCTCAGCATATTCACAAGTCAATCCATTGAACGATCAAAGTGTTTACTTCTCACTCCGAACCGCCGGATGCACCGGATAAACAATCATAATCAGTTGCTGATATCATCACAACCCAACGAGAGCTTGTGACCACCCTACGAAAGCCAGCACCGGAGCGTAAACATAAACATACTACGCATTCATCAGAAGGGGAACCTTCTTGGTAGCATAAGATTGAAAATTTAATTAGTCTTAAGTGATCAGTGAATAGATACGGAGTAAAGCTCCTAAAAGATATTTTTTCCAAATCAGTGGAAGGAAATTCTTAACTGTATACTCCGACGTTTTGTGTTGTTGACTGCACCTAGAGAATCTCTCACAATTTTTGCAATCCATGCTCTTGTACCCAAATTCTCCACATAAATGTGGAAACATCTCAACACATTAATCGCGGAAAATTTCGAGCACCGATCAAACCCTACATTTGATTCGAACCTGGGTTACTACGGCCACAACGTAGGGTCTTAACCACTAGACAATCACGGCTATAGAGAACGGGGATTATCCCCTGCACCATCATCAAGAACAGAAACTCTTATCAATTTATTTTAAACAAAAGAGTATAGCACTCGGTCGCTATAGTAAGGTGAATCAAATACTGGTTGAATATTTAGCCAAAATAATCCCTGCGTGGGCCGGGAATCGAACCCGGATCAACTGCTTGGAAGGCAACTACGCTGACCATTACACCACCGACGCTTACGATGAAGTAGAATCGCTTGTGAAGTTTCAAAGAAAATGTAGAAGTAGTATGTGACACAGGCTAGGCTGTTATCCTTCAGCATGCTAAATCTATCGTCAGTAAATTACGTTCCAAATAGGTCCAGTCAACCAATCTGTCTACTTGTTCTCCTTTGTTTATACTAATCATTTTATTAACTATTAGCTTGTCCTATTTACTATTCACTACTACTCACTCAATTTGTATTCTTCTGCCTTTTGAAATAATCTTCAATCATCATCATTAGTGCCCCGTAACGTAAATAGCACCTTTTCGTGGTACGGTACGGGATGTAAGATCTACCACCGATTCCTAGTCCTGACTACTTCAAACTAGGGAAAAAGGATTTTTCAGTAATCCAAGGAACACATCTTAGTCCTTGTTACTTTTTATGTCTTGTTGATAGTGACAAGACTCGGCTTTGTCTACCGAGGATGATCTTGAAACAAGGCAAAAAATGAGTTAGTTGTCTTCATTTATGTGATTCCTAATCTTCTATTCGTTGTTCCCTAGCTTGAAGTGGTTAAGACTAGGGTTCTGATGCATGGTCATTATCGGTGTCATACCTTAATTTTGTTGCTAAGGAATCCAATTTTGACTGACAAAGGGGCTCGCTTTTGGAGGGTGTTTCAACACTCCGAAGGGTATTAATAGCAGGACTTTCAATTAGAGTCGCATCATTGCGATAAATGCAAGAGTCGCAACTGTAAAAAAATCGAATACTTCATAATTTTTCAAAAGTGATGGAGTAATACGACATGCACTAAACTAAGGACACGGGATATGCTACAATAGATCAAATTACTTGTCGCAGTAGTGTTAGGTCCCGAACAGAGGAAAAAAAATCATCATTAGTATTCACATACAATCTTACACTAGTTATCCGAAAATTTAAAGCAAGTATTTGATTATTTTACAGAGATAATTTTCTGGTTATAACAATTTTACTGTATTTACTTACTTGTGTTCTTCGTAACTTTTCACAATTTCAATCAATCGAATACATGAAATCGATAAAAACTGCATCTCAAATCTGACCGAAATTTAACACCAAGAAAACCACTTTGACTCTACTACTGCGCGCCTGGTGACAGGAATAAGCACTATCCGACGGTGATCAGCTAGTGACATCCCTTGGAAATTTCATTATTTTTATGGAAATTTGTTAAATTACAGTGCTAGGTCGTGTAATTATGCTTTTAAAATGAATGAATCTTGTACAAAACCTAAAAAAAAACTATTGTGATATGTGTCGATCCTAAAATAAAAATTACTAGTTTTCAAATAAAATTTAAAAAAAAAAAACATGATGAGGTTATGGACTTGGTTCTGTTAACAGCCATACAACATCGATTAATGTTGATATGGAGACGTGACCAACCAAATCAAATAAAAATAGAAAAGAGTACAAGTGCATTCCAATACAGGCCTCCGATGCTGGTTATTGGTTTAATACGGTAGCATTGTATTCGGATTAATTTGCAACCATCGATTAAAGCATGCAGGAATTTCGTTGGTTTTATCATGTTTGTTCTACGATTTTTATTTAATTTCAATGCTATTTACTTATTAATCAATAATTTGGCACTTAAATATCTAATTCTACTCACCAGAGAGATTGTACTTATGCCAGAGAAGAAAGAGTCTCCTCTCGGTTATATGCCTGCTGATCAGGCAAACTATACAATGCCGTCTGCGACACAGGCACTTTTGGTACTGCCTTTGTTGTCCCGCTCGTCTGAATCTACCAAACCAGGCGTGATTACCTTCTAATGGTTTCGAAGCGGAACCAGCTATAAGAAAGATGATGTTCCTGCGGATGGAACAATATATTGTTTTGATTGCTTCAATATGTAAAATTGTTCTAACAACTCACCTCAAACTGCAAAATTAATTGATTTATTCAATTTCCGATGGGATGATCCTTCAGTATTGTATTCTCAGTTTGAAAACTGTAAGAAAATTGTTAACATTATTTGTTGGTGTTTTGCTGGGAGCAATCTAATTTTCATTTTGAAGAAATCTCAATGATTTTGCATTTAATAATTAGGATTTACTTACCATTCTTACCGGCGCTACTTTTCTGTTCATATAGTGATTCACTCACTGAGTTAGTCTGATAGTGACCTCCAAACAAATTGAACGGATTTGATTAACTCATAGTATTCACCTTATATCAATTCCAGATAAATATTGTCACTTCTACCTCAAAGTATTGTTCTTCTTGGCTGTCAAAATATCGAAACTAACCATCGAAAAGAAAATCTTTTGAAGCCTCTTTTTTCAGAGTTACTGATGCACAACTTTGGTTCACTGGAGACCGATTTATTAAGCTGATCTACTCGCTAAAATACAACGAGGTGGTGCACGAATGGTTGGCTTTCTACTGGATTGATAAACTGTTTTCATACGAATTTATATTATCGCGATATTTCACGAAGTTCACCAAGGGAAAAGTTTTGGCGAACTGATGATTAAATGTTCCTAAACGCTGAAAAGATAAGGTAGGGTAGCCGCGATTCGCAAATGCGACGTGACCAATTGAGAAATCCAACTCTTGCGCGCCTGGTGGCAGTAATAAGCACTAACCGACGGTGATAAGTCTGTGACAGCTCATGACAATTTCATTGATTGTTTGCCAAATTGTTTAATTTCAATGTAATTTCATGCAAATTTCTTGTTAGAATGGATGAATCTTGTACAAAATGTATGAAACTAGGTTAGGTTTTTGATAAGTCTTTAGTGAGAATGACACTGATGAAGACTACACATTGTAGTCGAAATACGTATCTGTCATGAATACCAAAATTATTTAAGTGGAATTAAATGGAAGATAACCCCTTTTTTTGCTGTTTTATTTGCTTACATCATGTTTTGACTTGCACAGGAACTCGCTAGAATAAATAGAAAAGTTTTTTGGTCGCAATTTCAAAAATGTATTCAGTTTGACACATTATTTCGGACTTCTCACCGCTGCGATTGCAGCGCCACGGTGGCCGATACAAACATGGATTTGTCAATTCAAAATAATCTTATTATATTATCATAGTCGTGAGTCGCGCGTCACGGCCACAGGCCAACATTTACTGACATTTCTATTTTGCTAAATGCTGATAAGATAAGGTAGTGTAGATTTATTTAAGGGTCAGGGTAGCCGCGATTCGCAGACGCAACGCTGGTCGCGTTGAGCCTTAAACTGCTGCGCGCCTGGTGGCAGGAATAAGCACTAACCGACGGTGATAAGTCTGTGACAGCCCTTGACAATTTCATTGATTGTTTGCCAAATTGTTTAATTTCAATGCAAATTTCTTGTTAGAATGGATGAATATTGTACAAAATGCATAAAACTATTTTGTAATGTATTGTTCCCAAAAAAAAGTAGCTTCAAGTCTTATAGGCCCTTATTACCGTTGTCACTTCACGGTGAAGTGACAACTTATCACTCACGGTGAAGTGATTCCCATTTGATTTACACGGCAATCACTTCACCGTGAGTGAGAACTGGTCACTTCACTTCGTTTTCACCGTGAAGTGACACCCGTAATAAGGGCCATAAATTACAGAAAGCATGTTAAGGTTTGAAATCATCTATCTATCAAACAGCAGACAAAGTCGGCCGACTAAACCCATCAACGAAAAACTATTGAATGGGCCGATTGCTCGGTGTATCACCAGACAAAAACCGATTTAATCTGCTAATTAATACAACGACTGAAATTAATTTCAAGTGTCAAAAGATTTACTTGGTGGATGAATCGGGTGATTTGGATGATGTTTGTTTATTTGGAAGATATTTTCAAAACAAAGCACTTTAAAATTCAGCACTACATACCATTATTAAGAGTACTACTTTTTTTGCTTAAATTATGAAGTAATAAAATGGAGTTGTTTGCGGAATGCTTAAATTAAACAGCTCAAAACGCTCAAACGCTCATTACTATTCTTTGCGGTACCTGGTAGCTCGCGCACCGTCACTTTCCGGCCAGCCAACACAATTTCATGTATTTTTTGACATTGTCCTCTGTAACCGCATCGGACTTGATCGATAGTGGAGTTGCGGCCACCACGAAACACTCGAAACCAATATTTGACAGTGTAATCTGAGGGAGCATTAGCCCCATAATATTTATCCAACTTTTCTTTTGTTTCCTTCGCCGTTTTGCCTCTCAAAATATAATGTTTTATGAGAGAACGAAAATCGTTTTTATCCATACTCAACACGATGCCAAACACGTCAACAACAATCAGCTGTCAAAACAAAACTAAAAACAGTATCGCACCGAAATTTGGCATGTCTGCCTAAATATGAACGGATTACAAGGCACCATAACCTTTTTTGCAGTAGCAGGTCAAGGAGGTTACTTTTCACCCCACCTAGTAGTGCTACCAACAATCAATATGAAACTAACGATTTCAAATTGGCTCACTACTTGACTAGCCTATTGGTCCCAAGCAAATCGACTAACGTACCCCATTCTAGTATAAATTCCAGTACTACACTATGTTTGTTTTGATTCGCTATGAAAGTTTGACAGATAAAATGAGGGATTAGTGGATTTTCCTATGTTTCGAGGGATGAATCGATTAGCTTGAGACCGAAGATAGTGCCAGAGCTGAACCAAAAAGTTGAGCTCGTTTCTTCGGGACCTTCTGGTCTTAGAGTTACTTCTATGGTGCTACCATCTTAGGAACCGCTTATTTAAGATATTTCGGCAGTCTTCTCTTCAGTTTGCTATTATTGATTCGACAACATTATCCAAGCTACACCGCCCAGTTTAGTCCCGGTTAATAATGTGTTGTAGCGTTGAGCTGGAGTACCCCCAAGTTACAAAGTATTGCGCATCTTGCACGTTATTATATGTCATATTTAAAAGACCTCGAAGTTGTGATCGGAGGTTATTAATATTTAACCCAAAGCACTGGTATAGAATAAAATCTTGAAGAAAATGAATCCTTAAACATAATATTAGTTAGCGTAAAAAACCAGAAAAGTCACCTTCATGAATAAAAGAAAATCAATTATCTTTCATTTGAAACAATTGGAGCATCAATTAATCTAACTTTAATATTTAAACGAGTATAGCTGTTTTAGACTCCTAGCCAAACAACTCCTAAAAAATACTTTAGTCAAGCTTGCAACACGTTTTTTTTTTCATTGATTTGTACGGATTTTAATTCAATCGTAGAACGCTGTACGGATTTTAATTCAAGACATGTGCAACTTAAATACTTTTTCTAATAATTAAAGGTAATGTTTAGACACCACAAATAATGGAAAAATAAAGATTAATGTATGGGAAAAATATGTGATACAGAGTAAAATGTGATAGTATTATTTTATATCGACCATTAATGATTCTCTCGTATTTAGGTGTACGGATTTCGGTCTCGCACGGTCTCACATCAAAGTTGATGCACTTCAATCCTGATTTTTACCCTGCTTGCAAAAGAACGAGTATTTTTTGATGTGATGAATCAGAAAATTTTATAATTTTTGTCCATAGATAAATGAATGCTTATTCATATGTAGCATAGCAACATGTGAAATGTCTTGCTCATTTTGAGCTTCTAAATGTATTGTTTAGGGTGGCGATCTTACCGCGTCTTCCCCTAAACCACATAAATACAAGAAATAAAGATCAATTAAAGTCAAAAGTCTAAAAGTAGCAAAATGAAAACCAAATGCAACATCCTGATGAGATCCCTGTATCCACTCATCAACTGGAGATCCACTCTGTCCCTGAAAAACAAACTTGATGTATATAAGCAAATAATCCTTCCAGTGATAGAGTAAGGGGTCCAAATCTGAGAGAATAACGCGGATTGCCATCACTTCAAACTACATAGGGCCCAAAACAAGATCTTGAGGATAATTCGCAACTGTCCTCCACGCACTCGAAACTTTGAGGTCTATCGCCCGGGTGGTCTTCAGACGCTGGAGTAACGAAGAACTGCTACCATTGAAAGGTTCAGAGATTGCTGTAGGCGATTCGATCGTCAGATCATCAGGGATCTGGCACGTTAGGTTAAGTAGGTAGGTTGTCATTTTTTTTTTAAATTCAGACTTAACAAACCCTTAAAAGGGTTTTATGTGTAAATGTAAATGTTACTACTACTTACTGAACACTGAACTGATAGGCTAATTAATTGAAATGTTAAATCAATGTAAAATCGTAATTAACAGAAATAAACGTAATCTTACTAAAGGGTGATACGGTCAAAATTTGGTCAATATCAACTTGACGTATTTCTTTCAATTTTGCATTTAAAAAACCTGAACACCCCTCATTTTGAAGGTGTGTGTGTGTAGAATGATGCTCCTATTTTGATTTTGGAATTCACTCTTCAGTTGTCAAAATGCCGTCCAAGCAAGAAGAGCAGCGTATCAAAATTTTGCTCGCGCATCGCGAAAATCCGAGCTACTCGCACGCAAAGTTGGCAAAATCGCTAAAAGTTGCCAAATCAACCGTTACAAATGTAATTAAAGTGTTTGGGGAACGTTTGTCGACAGCCAGGAAGTCTGGATCGGGGGGAAATCGAAAACCGGAAGCCGCTGAGACGACAAAGAGAGTTGCCGGTAGTTTCAAGCGAAACCCTAACCTCTCTCTCCGAGATGCCGCAAATAAGCTGGGTGTATCGTCTACAACCGTGCATCGAGCCAAAAAACGAGCCGGACTATCGACTTACAAGAAGGTAGTGACTCCAAATCGCGATGATAAACAAAATACGACGGCCAAAGCGCGATCCCGGAGGCTGTACACGACGATGCTGACGAAGTTTGACTGCGTGGTAATGGACGACGAAACCTACGTCAAAGCCGACTACAAGCAGCTTCCGGGACAGGAGTTTTATACGGCAAAAGGAAAGGGAAAGGTAGCAGATGTTTTCAAGCACATGAAACTGTCAAAGTTCGCAAAGAAATATCTGGTTTGGCAAGCCATCTGTACCTGTGGCTTGAAAAGCAGCATTTTCATAGCTTCCGGGACTGTCAACCAAGAAATTTACGTGAAAGAGTGTTTGAATAAACGTCTGCTGCCTTTCCTGAAGAAACACGGTTGTTCCGTACTGTTTTGGCCGGATTTGGCATCTTGCCATTACGGTAAAAAGGCCATGGAGTGGTACGCCGCCAACAACGTGCAGGTGGTTCCCAAGGACAAGAACCCTCCCAACACGCCAGAGCTCCGCCCAATTGAGAAATACTGGGCTATTGTCAAGCGGAACCTAAAGAAGACCAAAAAAACTGCTAAGGGCGAGCAGCAGTTCAAGGCAAACTGGCTTTCTGCGGCGAAGAAGGTGGACAAGGTGGCTGTACAAAATCTGATGGCAGGGGTCAAGCGTAAGGCCCAGCAATTCGGATTT